CCCCCTAATCACCTAGTCCCAGTCCTTTCATGTGAAAAAGCGCTGAATATTAAAAAATATAAATAAAAATAGAAGGCCTAGGTCTAGGCTGGCCAACTATATATAAAGCCTCTGCCGGAGATGAGAGAATAAACTATGAAGCATGTAAATATTGGGATTCGGTGGCGTTTAAATGCATGAATTTATACCAACATGAAATGTCATCAAGAACGTTTAATTTTCTTTAGAGATTGGTGTGAATACCGTGTTATTCATGCAATTTCTAGAGAAAAAGCCACAGTAAGGTCTCTAAACCTGGTCTTATGAACCTATAGCGTCAACAGAAGTTGGTACAATTAAACTGCTTGTTTTTGAATCTTGATGTTTCTACAATCTACACATTATAATTCCATTGCCATCAGATAGTAGTAACTTAGACGATTCACAATGGATAGCTCTGGTTTAAAAAGGTTTTCCTCTATAGGTATACTAGTATAATAGGAAGCACTTTAATTAAAAATTTGGAATAACAAATGAAACTAAAATCTGAAATTTCAGTCATTTTCGAAGAAGAAGACAGTTTTTCGTTGTTTGAAGAACTTAATTGTGTGTATATTAGCTACCAAAATTGTCCACCACACAGTACAAATAGCCAAAAGGCTGTTTAATATATTTTCGCTTCACTGTACGTTGTCCAACTGTATCAGATATCACAAATTTAAAATGAACATAATAAAGTATTTTAGCTATAATATCTTGAAATAAAGTCTTTAAAAAGTTTCTTGAGGTTTCAATATTCATTCCCTGTCTTTCACTAGCGAGAGTAGTTCTTGCCACTTGTTTATCTTGAAGCAAATCGGCGTCAGTGAACGTGAAAATCCGCTGTGTTTTTGGTCTCATTTGCTTGACTGACTAGAGATAAGACACCTCGGACCCTTCAGTAATATAGTATATAGCTCAGTGGTATGCACTAGGCTCCTACGCGGAAATTCTCCGAATTCAATACGAAAAACGGCATCATTTTATGTAGAAATTTCATAATTATACGGCCGACTATTTTTTAAGACTGGTTTCACGGTGGCCCTAAGAGACTAGAGCAAGTGATCTTTCAGAATAATCCAAATTTAAGAAAAACTTTATAAAAAGCAAAGTTATTTGACGAGTGAAAACAAATTCAGGAAAAACCCCGCGGATAAACACCAGCATGGGATTTGGGACTTCAACTGAGCACAGAATATTATTTTCGACTGCAGTTGTATCAATCTTACCTTTTTATATAGTTTTTTTAGCTTTTAGATAGGGTATTTACCACTAAATATGAATATTTATGTGCAAAAATTGAAAAACATAGATCCACAATTGATTTATTTTTCATCTCCCGCAAAGCCCATGCTAAATACACACGTGTTTTATACCTGCAAGCTAGAGATCATTCCGGCACCATCTTGCCTTCACCAGATCATAGGGCCGTTTACGTGGAGTTCGCAAGCAATTTTTCATACGATTTTTCGATTAATTGCTGCGTAGTTGTGAATAAGTACGGCGCTTATTCGGAGGCGCCGCTGTTTAATAATTTTGCCGCATGTGCGACGCTTAATGGGAAGGGGCGCTCAATTGTAGGCGGAGCTTAAACTAGTAAATAAGAATATTGTATGACACTATAGCAACAACTGCAACCGTACACCAAGGCACTATGTCACGCAACTTGAAATTGTTCAAATAACTACTAGTTCAAACGTGATCGTTACCGTGCGTAGAACGTAATAATTCAACGTTCGGGCTCGTTTCCACTGTTCTCGGCAGACGTTCAAACTAAACGTCTTCAACTGTCGTAGTTAAGGGATGAGACAATAGTTGCAATTTTGGTTTGAAACGATATTGCAGTAACGTTTGATACGATATTAAGTTTTCAACCTCAATACTATTTTGAAACTATTCAACCAAACTATGTATTATGCATGCTTATCCTTTTTACCTTCCATTTGACAAACATCAATGCACTCTCTCTTACATTATTTTATCTTTTAATTAATATAGTTTCGGCTGACAAACCATAAAGGAACAACAGCATGGTGTCAAAGTCTCGTGCACTTTATTGTTGTAATTCTCCTTTCAAACTTATCAAGCAAAATGGTACGAGCATGCAAAGACGAAAAAGGATTTATAATAAAACAAGGTATTTATCTTAAAATTTATACCGATATTTGAGCAAGTGGTAGCAAATGCACAAAATTGGTTTCTTCCTTTGTTGGTTCGCAGGTTTCTCCTGGGATAATTCTTAGGTTTCAATCACGTGATATTTTAGCATAATTTACTCAAATGAGGAGCAATCGTTGAACTGAGGTCAACTAAAACAACAAAGAAACGCATCTTATGTAAATGAGTTATCTTACTATTACAAAACCAATATGAAACGGTATAAACAATACAAAAGCCATGCTTTACGTTCGACACAGACCCTTGACCCCAAAGTGACGTCATATGAAGCCCACGAATAGAAGTAGCTCAGTTCAGTTTTGTTTACTTTTATTTAAATTCGCGCAGTATCTGCAATCACACAGACCAGGGCGCATAGTGGGAAGTCAAACGGTATATGCGCACTAACCAATCCATGTATGAAGTAGATGATCTATAACCAGCTTACTTCATGTCATCCAGTTCCCGGGGAAAGTAAATAAAACTAAGACGGATAGTTTTTTAGTCTTTTACGTTTTGCTGAATAAATGGGTGGCGATGATAAAATTCCGTTGTGATGTGATAATTTAAGTGGAGGGTGATACCATATCACACAATCAAAGCCTTGAAGAAAGCCGACGCATACTCAGTCAAAAAAGCGTAACCGTCGCCATGCCATGATTCGCAATGATTTGTCATCAAAATAAACTCGCTATATCACTACAGCCAGCGCGCTTATGAGAGGCATTCACCCAGCCCCCTGAACCTCAATATTTTCAAGTTGAATATTTTCAAGGTGGTGAATGGCCAAGAACATGACGACAGTATAACAACAGTTAGGCCAAAATCATAGGAAAAAATTAAAACGTCGACCCGTTCTCTAAGATCTTTATTCTGTCGATCTATCACACGAACGTTTTCAAAATATTTTCCCAAGTTGCACATATAATATTTTATATCATCCAAATGAAGACATTAATTAATATTCAGAAAAATAATATTTTTAGTGTGATTTCCAGTCTTGTATCGTTTCATGATGCACAATACTATAAATCAGTCGAATTTTTAATTAAGACAGAACAAAAATTAGTGGCACGCCGATCGAAATAAATTAAATTAAAGTAAACTAGACAGTCACAGAATATCTGGTAATTGAGAGTATGATATATTATTACTAAAATTCAAAATTTCGACTTGGCCGATATTCGTCTTCGCAGCTAGTTGAGTCCATTCGTCTGATTCACCCTTTTTTATAAACGATTATATATACATTCTTATTAGAATGTTAGGGTTTGTAATCCAAGTGAGTATAACCAAATCATTGAAGTCCACCTTATCACAACCCGCACACCCGATTACCTATATATACATGAACTTACGGTTACAGCTCAACAGCTGGCCTCTGTAGCTCAGTTGGTTAGAGAGCTGCACCGGAATCGCAGGGCCGTAGGTTCAATTCCTACCAGAGGACCTTGTGCTGCATTTTTCGCAGTCGTTCCTGGTCAGGTCTTAAAATGTATATATACTCACTTGGATTACAAACCCTAACATTCTAATATTAATTCCAACAAGTGAAGTGCAAGAAACCAAATCATTGAAGTCCTATATATACATTTATAATTCATTTGACCTACACATGAGCAGTTGCGGAAAATGCAAATATCGTCCCTCTGGCCGAAATCGAACCCACAGCACTATGCAGCGCTCTAACGAACTGGGCTATACAGAAAGACAGTCGTCGAGCTCTAACCGCAAGTTCATGTGAGTATTAAAGTTGTACAAAATTAATTTTAATCATTTGCATGTATTTCAGATCACGCCTTTGTGGGTCATGTGATTGAAACGTTAATGACCAAAGGATTAATTGAATGTCTGATGAGGTGCATGGAGCACATCAATTGCTTGTCTGCTAATTACGCAGGACTCCGTGATGGTCACGTGATGTCGCATTGTGAACTTAACAGCGACAAAGGCGGTTCGCCATGTCTAATTTTTCGTGCGGGGACATCCTATTATGAATTGCTCAAAGAAAAGGTATACTTTCCATACGTGTGTCATTATTTAATTTTAATAGTTCACGAGGAAAATACAAAAGAAATGAATGTTTAATCAATGTTTGTAAATCGGATAAAGATTTGTCCTGATTTATATAAACTTTAGCTTTGATTTTCTTGGCTTAGACAATGTTTATTTTTAAATTACTTCGCCAATGGACTGATAAGATGGGTCATTTTTTAAGTACGATAATTCGGCGAGAGTTTGTATATCAGATACAGATCGGCTGCTCATGTTTCATCTAGTACTTAATTGTTTCCCGAATTAATAATTCATGAAGAAAACACAAAAGAAATATCATGAGCGTGAAGGAGTTTGTATATCTGATAAAAAATCATGCTGATTTACATAAATTTTAAATTAAATTTTCTCACCATATATTATTTATTTATTTTAAATTGTTGAGGAATACGAATATTCCCAACAACACGTTTCACAGACCATTTAGAATATTCGCGCCCATATCAGTGTATCGGATATAGCGACACAGGCTACAGTACAGCATCTCGTGTTGTACATAGTGCATGTACCGGGTGTCCCCCAAAAAAATACTCCGGTTTGATTCGTAATAACTTCTTAACAAGTAAAGTTTTTAAAGAGAAATAACTTGCATCAAATAGAGGAATGACTAACTTAGATTTTGATATATTACAGTTGTATTTCACTTAAAGTTCACGGAGAAATTAATGTTTAAAATCGGAGCATACAGGGTGTATCAAAAAAAGCGCAACCTTGGAATTTCCCAAGAAATCGACATTGTTTTAAAGACAAAAGATTTTAGGCGCCTGGGAATTTAAAATAGCATAACTGTCAAAATTACTGCACACGCGAGTGCATAAAGCAAAATTTATGCATTTATTTAATGCACAACAACAGTAATATGATCTATTAGCAATTCGATTTCAATTCCCAGGGGCCTAAAATTTTTATGCTTAAGAATTGGAAAGTGTTTCTTAGGAAATTCCGAGGTTGCGCTTTTTTTGATACACCCTGTATTTCTGGATGTGTCTGAAATATGCAAAAAACGGCGTATCAAATATTAATCAACATTTGCCCGATTGAAACATGCACTATTGCCAGTAAATAAATGACACTTGACAAATTGTTTATTATGAAACAAAGTATTATTATTTACAAAGTACAAGCAAGATTTATTCGTTCGAAATCTGCGTGTGTTCCTAGCACGAATACGTTTCCTTATTTCATGAGACCACTGCATCTCGAAAGATCGTCATGGATATGGTTCGTATAGTTCTGAATTAGGACATGCTGTCACAATGGAATTGTGAAGCTCTTCTAACTTCTGCAAAGTTCTGAAATCTTGTTAAGAACACTCAAACTCTTTTGCCTTTTCTTAATCTTGTTAAGTTTAGAATAAACTGACAATGAAACACAATCAAACCATATACAATTCCATAAGACATAACAAGCAACTCCCCAGAGACATCCAACATTTTTGGAACAAAACGTAACAAAATAATAGCGTTGATACTGTGATGTGTATTTGCAAAAAGCAATATTATTTCCTTCATTAAAGAATAATATTCATCCTGCTCTAACCGAGAAATAATCAACTCAGTTTTAAACCCATGAGAAACATAAAAAAATTAGGCTATTTAAATTAAGAAAAATTTAAGCGCCTGCCTTGCATGGTCTTTCATGTACCTTTAAGTTTGTAAAGACCTATTAAATACTTGCATAATTTCGAACGTTCATAGTTCAGGAAACAATGAGCTACGACTTACATGATATGCATGTTAAGATGTCTAAATCTATATGTCATATCCCTTACAAACCCTAACGACAATTCGCTGAAATACAAGTTAGCCTGATATGTCATTAAGCAAACAAACGCTGGAGTTAATATTTGATATGCCGATTTTTGCTAATTTTAGAAACATCCCAAAATATGCTTCCGATTTTGAACGTTAATATCTCCGTGAATTTTTAAGTAAAATACAACTGTAATATATCAAAATCTAAGTTAGTCCTTCCTCTATTTAATGCAAGTTATTTCTGTTTGATAGCTTTACTTGTTTAGAAGTTATTATAAATCAAACCGGAGTACTTTTTTTTGGGACACCCGGTATATGACACAAAGTTGTTCAATATATTAAACAAAAGAGCTCTAGAAACTATATATTGTTGCCTCTTGCATACAGTAAACCTTTATTTCCTTTTTCCATTCTTTGAAATATCTATTTTCCTTTAGTAAAACAATAAGCCTGAGATTCTTGTGAATACAGGGCAGCAACGCGGCGACGACAGCTATAAAGGTGGTCTTTCACTCTGAAAACATTGGTTTTCAAATTAAAGCTTTGGCAGGGCGTTGTGAAAACCCGGAATGCCGGAATATCACGGAATATGCCGGAATATCACGGAATATGCCGGAATATCACGGAATATCACGACATTTTTTCGGAATATACCGGAACATCACAATATTTTCCGATGGTAGCCAATGCGACTGTTTATAAACATTGACGTCAGACAACATATTTTATTACAAAAGTGATGGATCTTTCTCATTTTGAAGGAAGTAACAAAGAATAACTCTATACTGGAAGTTTTATATGTTGTTTATATCATTATTATTTCGAGTGTTCACCAAACATTTTGAATCAATATGATTAATTCCTCCTGAGTTAGGGACCGCTCATTATTTATTATACAGGGGGGGGGATTGAGGAGAAACTGGCGGGCCTTTAAATTTTTTAAAACCTGAAAGGGAGGGCTTTGAAAAAATACAGAGAGACGAAAGAAGCGGGGCTTTGAAAAGATTTATCAGTTTTAAAAAACATTAGTAGTTTTAAAAATGTATCACAAAACAACTTAACAACAAATAACAATGTTTATAGACTTTAATATTCATAAATGGAAGCCAAATAAAAAGTCTCTTATGTTCATGTATTAAAACAGACAATTCCCATTATAGACTAATTTTAGAACCAGGCAAAGAGATGCAAATCAAGGCCAGATTTTGGTGAAAATAGAGGGGGAGGTGGAAAAAAGTTTTAGGGGAGGTGCAGCGGTCTACCTCGCAACCCCCATGGAAAGTTGGGGCTTATTGTAGAACAGGCCAATTTCAACGAGGTGAGGTATGCATGTAGTGTACATATGTACCAGTGTATTAACGAATTATGACTGTATGGCTCTAATCTCGCCCTTCATTACAATTGCTACAAAGTTTCTTTCAAAACATTGCATTAAAAGGGTACTTGACACAGAGATGAATGGCTATCACTGTTTCAATTTTACAGAGAAAACTTTCTTACGTCACGAAGTGTAGATCCTAAGCAACCATCACGTTTTCACTTTGTTCCATCATTGAAACTTTCCCAAGGGGAGGTGTATGACCGCAAAAATTCTCAGGGGAGGTGCAAAACGATCTCAGGGGAGGTGCGCACCTCTCCACATCTCCCCTCAAAATCCGGCCTTGATGCAAATAAATCACCACAGCTAGAAAGAGCATACTAAAATAACATACGGAAAATATAGCCTTGCAAAGTTTGCAAATTTTGTCTACTTTTGTATTGCATGCGAAAATTGCAATACAAAAGTATACAAAATTTGCAAACTTTGGAAGGCTATATTTTCTACATTTTACTAATTTTAGTATACCCTTCCCGGGAATATACTTTTTTGCTAAGATAAAAAATTAGTCTATAATGAGAATTGTCTATTGGTCCCCATTATCTATTTTTGTTTCACTAAATAAAGAGCTAGAGAGTTTTTGTTTCTCTAAATAAAGATTAAAAGCTAGAGGGGGGAACCGAAATTTATGTTTTCGTCTTGCCTGTGTGGGGGGCTTTGAAAATTTTACTTGTCTTAAGAGGGGGGCAACGAAAAAATATTATAACTGTAGAGTTTCTCCTCAGTCTCCCCCTGTACAATAAATAATGAGCAGTCCCTTACAGCGTCTTGAAAAACAAAAGTGCTGACATCAGCATTATTTTCGAACGCCTTCACTCCCGGTGGAACTGTGTTAAGGCCCGTTTACACTTGCAATTTTTGCTGCGATTTCTACTGCAATTTCCTCCTTCTAATGCATGTGAACAGTGAACGAGTAGATGAGTTACAAATGTTCGGAGTACATGTACCCCCATCTGAACATTCATAACTTATCCATTCGTTCACATGCATCAGAAGAAAAAATCGCACCTATAAAGACTATAAAAATTGCAGCTAAGTTTGCAAGTGTGAACGAGCCTTTTATATACAAAATTTAGTTAAAAATTATTGGTTAAGATTAAGACTGGACTTCTTACCTGATATAAACAACTTGCTCAAAGTTGCCTTATATAGCATTTGATTTTTGGATAAATGCTTGGTGGTATAAAATGATCAATTTTAACTAAATTTTGTGTCAGTAACACAGTTCTGAAGACGCTGTAACTCAGGAGGTATTAATCATATTGATTGAAAATTTTTGGTGAACACTCGTAATAGTGATATAAACAACATATAAAGTTATTGTTTGTTACTTCCCGTCAAAATGGGAAAGATCCATCACTTTTGTAATAAAATATGTTGTCAGGTCCATGTTTATAAACAGTCGCATCTACCATAGGAAAATATTGTGATGTTCCGGTATATTCCGGGAAAATGTCGTGATGTTTCGTGTTATTCCGCCATATTCCGTGATATTCCGGCATTCCGGGCTTTCACAACGCCCGCTTTTGGCATCATATTTGAATCAAGTGTATTTAGTGTAATCGATTATGATCAGCAGACAAAGAATCAGTAACTTTTTCATTCGTCGTTGCCATAGTAACTAAGATAATCCTTTTTATAGGGTAAAATGTAGGGTTTGCTCCAAAAAGGATGTGAGCCAAACTAAATTACTGAGAACTTTAGACACAGTTTGGACACCTAATAGTAATACATTCATCGATGTCCTAAACCCAAAATATACATATAGGAAATAGAAGAAGGCCTTTATTTTTATTTTTCAAAGATATATGAAGAAAGTGATTCATATAAGGGTTAACGTTCCTTTGCAATGTATAACGCTGATATATATTTGCTTAAGTTCAGTATACATAGGTAACATGGCTCTGTTACTAATCAATAAACTCTGAAAATTTCGAACGAATTGATTCAGTATCAAAAATAAATTAATTTTGTAGTATTTCACCAAACGTTCATTTGAGAAAAAGTTTATTTGATTTTAAAGTGTTTGCCTATATTAGAATAACTTATACAGAACAATGCAATTGAAAAGTAGAACAACAGAACAAACCAACCACAAACATTTATTAGCTCCGGGTAAAATCATGGATTTACCCCAAAAAGGGGTTGACATGAATTTTCTAGACTGAGGTTTAGAGTGCATTTTTGCGCTTAAAATTATTTGGATGGTTATAAAGGATCCCATAACGACTGCATTTTATTTTGTTTTTTTAAATGAAAACATACAAATTTTCGAAAGAATACCACCTTAATTCTTTCTTTTAATAATTAACAATTATTCGCCGAAGGCGAGGTAATTATCGGGGAATATTGGCCGAGACGAAGTCGAGGTGAGGAGGGACTGTAACTGAAAACAGTTTGCAAAATCAATCCTATGAAAACGAATTTTGTTATCGGTCGATCATAAAAATTTCCCGAATTTCTTGGCGTCTTGCGGAGTAGAACAAAAAACAATTTGCCGAATAACTAACGAGTGGGGGTGTTCCATGAGGTCATCCAATCCAATTTCAAGCGTCACGTCACCTAAGGACCATTGTAAACCCCATACAAATAAAAACATCGAAATCCTAAAAACACCAGTGGTGGAATATTTCCGATAAAACCAGCATTGTTTTTGACTGTAGTTTACATACACTGGCATCTGTCTTGAATTGAAAGCTCCTTGCGCTTGTATTGCACTCGTGCTACAATCATTCAAGTATATTAATTTTATGCATCATTTTATAGAATGGATCCTATTCTCCATGTTATAACAACGGAATTTTTGTTCAGGAAAGTTGTAAATCATTTTGCAAATGTACTATCCCATACTCTGGAAAATACTGCGAAGATATCGATTTTTGTAAGTATAGATAATTTCCATTTATTTAGTTCAATCTATAGTATGCTCCCATTGGGATCTAGGCCGATTGTTTCGTTGTGCCAAAACGGGACCAGTGCTCGTGACGCACCAAATTAACAATTAACAAACTAACTAGAAATTACATGCATGCAGAAACCCTCGCCTTGCTGACAAAACCATTTTATTTTCCGAACGTGAAGTATTTTAAGTAGTTGTCATGGTAACACGATAATTCTTTAAGAATATTTTTACAAATGAAAATCCCCTATAAATATCACTTTTAATTACAAAATTATCAATTTCCTAAACATATATATGTTAGGTAGGTTATTATACGTAATATAAGCTTGAATTTAAGGTAAAATTCAACCACAAACGCTTCGCAAAACATTTTAAAATGTTCTTTTACTATAGAACTAAACTGCCTTTATCGATAAACTTTGAGTTCGAAATAAAATTATTCCAAATTCTCCCACGCAAATAACTTTGCTTAGTATAATAAAAAGTGTAATCAATAAAGAAACACTGAAATAATACGCTGTCTTGTTTCATATTTATACACAACGATCGGCTTTTAAAGTAATTACAGTAGGTATGTTATTATACGTAATATAAGCTTCAATTTAAGGTAAAATTCAACCACAAACGCTTCGCAAAACGTTTGAAAGTGTTCTTTTAATATAGAACTAAACTGCCTTTATCGATAAACTTTGAGTTCGAAATAAAATGATTCCAAATTCTCCCATGTAAATAACTTTGCTTAGTATAATAAAAAGTGTAATCAATAAAGAAACACTGAAATAATACGCTGTCTTGTTTCATATTTTATATACGCAACGATCGGCTTTTAAAGTAATTACAGCCGAGATTACAGTATATTAAAAGCAAACAATGCATCAATATTTAAAACAAACTTACCTTCGTTAACGTCGGCACCTTTACTTCCTTCTTTTAGCAATCCTCTTGCCTTTATTTCATCAAAAATCCTTTGCAATTTACAAAATCTTGCAAAAATGAAATATATTTGCAAGAAATCATCAAATCAATTTCGCTGTCGTCAATCGTCATGCAGCCGTTATAATGCCAATTTTAAATTGGACCAATCAGTGTTGGCTATTCATTACAGTCCGCTATATTATGAGATCAGTGAAGATGACCACCCACCGAAACACGCACAGTGACCCACGCCCGCGATATTTGATGAACTTTAGACTTCGCTAATGCTTCCCTTCCCCGGGTGTAAATAGCCGGGGGGAATTAGTACCCTCGCACGGCGCTTCGCGCCGTCGGCTCGGGGATTAATGCATATTATTATTATTATTATTAAACGAATTTATATACAGGATAAAAACTCCATCAGTTATGTGAAAAAATCACAAACTGTTATTAACAGAGGTCCTGTTTACTAATAGTCTAAACCTAAAAAGCTAAAAGTCCATCTTTATAATTATGTATACCAACATCAATTTTACGATTAAAAAATTAATTAGAATAGAAAAGTTAAAAAAGTCAAAGAAGTCATTCGTATGGACTAAATTGCTAAGTGCTTACTCAGTCCCTTCGTAAAAAGTCGCAAAGTGTCAGATTTACGAATTTCCAGAGGTAATTCATTATAAAGTTTTCCTCCGTTGAAGTAGAAACCCTTCTTTGCGGTTTCAAGTTTCACTTTCGGGAGTTTTATACTAAAAGCCAGATTTCTAGTAGCTACTTTAGAATCAATCAAAGTGAAATAATTTAAGAAGTTTTGACACACATTATTGTTTAAACATCTAAAAGTCAATATGCAGGATTTCTTCTTTTGGATGGTTTCTACCGAAGGCATTCTATTTGATGCTTGTTCCTCTGACGTTCCAAATATGATTCTAGCCGCTCGTTTCTCAAAGCTCTCGAGCCGTTTCTTTTGTGTGGTCGTAGAGCACGTACACACTAAAGAACAATAGGTTAGTACAGGAATTACCATAGCCCGATATATATCCAGAGATGCTTTCGTAGAAAGGAAAGAGCGAGTTTTTGCCAGAAGTTTAAGATATCCTGAAGCTTTCTTAAACGCCTTATTCACGTGATCATTCATGTTTAGGCTTGACTTTAAGTGAACTCCAAGGTATTTATAGTGTGACGTAAAGTTAACCTTCGAACCATTGCATTCTAGGTTCATTTGACGGCCATTCAAAGTACTCAGCCGTTTTCCAGTTCCAAATAGCATACTTTCTGTTTTCCCTTTTTTCATATTGATAATCAGTTGATTTTGTTGAAGCCACGATGTGATACTGGCCAAATCATCCTGTAATTTCTTTTCTATTACTTCAATATCTTTATGAGAGTAATAAATTACAGTATCATCCGCATACATAAGGATCTTGCAATTGTTCAAAGATGCAACTATTCCGTTAAAGTGCATGATAAATAATAGGGGGCCAAGGATTGATCCCTGTGGAACCCCACAGTTAACTGGTTTAAAAGAAGATTGTTCACCATTTACAGAAACACACTGCTCACGCGCAAATAGGTAATTTGTAAACCACTCTTTTTCTATTCCAAAAATTCCATAATTTGGTAACTTCGACACAATTAATGAATGACTAATAGTGTCAAAAGCTTTACGAAGGTCTATGAAGATTGCTCCAGTCAGTTGACCTTTGTCCATATTTTTCCTGATATTATCAAGAAAAAGAGTTGAAGCGAGTTCCGTTGACCTATGAGGCCGATAACCGAATTGAGAGTCAGATAACATTTTGTTCTCCTCTAAATGATTTAACACTTGCGAGTGCACGCACTTCTCAAGAATCTTTGAAGCAATTGGTAGAATGGTAATTGGTCTGTAGTTGTCAATATCCTTAGCAGATCCCGATTTATAAATTGGTATAATCTTACCCTTTTTCCAATCAATTGGAATGATCCCAGTATTCAATGATAAATTGATAATATAAGTTAAGGGTTCTGCAATCACATTTGCGGTATCTTTAAAAAGGCCAGGCGGTAAATCGTCAAGTCCAACTGACTTCTTGCGCTTTAGATTTTTTAAGTTTCTTAAAACTTCACTAACCTGAACTTGTTTAAAACTAAACCGTGTGACTATGTCCTCATTAGAGGTCTGATGCTTCCATACAAAGTTCGTCAAAGGGAAAGCCGCTAATTTCAGCTAAAATAAAGTTGTTTTAGCATATGAATAGACACAAAATGTCTTATTTATAACTCCAATATTTTTTACAACCTTGTTTTGAACGTGTTTCAGTTAAGCATGTCATTATAAGTGTTTGTTGATGAAAACACCTAAGTATTTTACTTTTTCTTTTGTTTGATGCTGCACATTTTTATTGTTATATTGCATTTTTTCTTGGGCGATCTTATTAGCATATAATTTGTTTTCTTAAAATTAATAGAGTTTGTTTTCATTACAGAATTTCAGTATATGTTTGAGTTCATTGTTGATTGTTTTTTCTAATTCATTTATATTGTTTGAGGAATAGAAAATATTTGTATCATCAGCGAAAATTCTAAATAGAAGTTTTTTTGAGCAGTTTAGTAAATCGTTAATATATAGTAGGAATAGCAGTGGTCCTAAAGTAGATCCCTGTGGAACACCACATGTCATGGTTTTCATACTTAATTCTGTTTCGCCGATTTTAACATATTGTTTGCAATTAGATATATAGCTTGAGAACCATTCATGTACTACTCCGCGGATTCCATAGGAGTTCATTTTATCTAGAAGGATTTTATGGTCAATAGTATCAAAAGCTTTCGAAAAATCTAAAAAGATTGCGCATGTTACTTTGTTTTCGTCTATTGCAGTTTTTAAATATTCAATAGTTTTGAGAATGGCATGCTCTGTAGAGTGTCCTTTCCTGAAACCGAATTGATATTCGAAAAGAATTTTTTGTTTTTCAATAAATGAAAAAAACTTGGTTGTACACAAGTCTTTCTAGCACTTTCAATTTCCTAATTCTGTTGTAACACCACTTTTGTAAACTGGAGTAACTCTTGAAATTTTAAATATTTCAAGCACTGCTCCTGTTGAAATTGATTCATTGTATATCTTTGCAAAGGGTGTAGATAATAAGTGACTTGGAATCTTGATGCACGAGATTGGAATGTCCATACATGATTTACTCTCATCCAAGGAAGAAAATAATGTTGAGACTTGTGTGTCAGATACTGGGTTCAAGTAAAAACTATTTGGTGGTGAGTTAATATATTGCATAGAACCTTTGTCATTAATAGGAAACTTTTTTGCTAAGTTTGAGCCTACATTTATAAAATAATTGTTGAATAGCTCTGCAATATCATTTTGATTTGTATGGGTCTTTCCACCATGTACAATTCTTGTTGGAGACATTTGGTTTTTAGTATGAAGTTTCTTCGAAACTTCACAATATTGTGATGAGTGGGGAAAATTCACACGAATCAGTCAGTCAGTCATTCATTCAGTCAGTCAGCCAGTCAGTCATTTCGTAGAGTAAACTTTCCGGGGGGTGTATATGATTTATGTTCCTAGTGATTTATTGTACTTAGTGCTTTGAAAGTTATTTAGGCAATTTCAGTTGTCTTATTTAAATATTCTTTTATCCTTTTGCCAAGTTCACAAAAATTTAGAGGAATCGTTTTCGTTATTGTAATTTTTTGTAAATTTTATAACATTTGCTGCTCATGTTGTGTAAAGGATCATCGCAAATGCGCATGCGCTATCAATCCGTAGATCATGATGGGTGATGATATGCTAGGAAGGAGTGAGACTGTTGTTTTCACATGATAAACATTTCAGATCAGACATGAATTGTAGATGTGTAGTGTGAATGCATGATTGCATGCACCCATAATTTGTAAATAATTTAATGTAAATTGATTGATATGTAAATAAGTTGTGAGCATATATATAGAGGCTTGGATATTTTTTGTGTGTAATGATCAATAAAATTTGGAACCTAAGCAATTGGCAGCTACATTTTGGTCCATCGAACAGGATTAATATTAACTAATTAAGAATCCAAGTGTTAAAGACCTTGGAGACGATGGCTGAGGCAAGACTGACTTCAGAAAGTGATAATATGGCTGGTAGACTTGGGGGAATTGACTGTGATGGCAATAGAACGAGTAATGAACATATAGTTAGTGGTGCAGAGCGAACCTGCCGTGAGAGAAGACCTAACGTTCGTTTGAACTTTGGATGCCGTAAATGCAGAAAGACTGGTGAAGCTAAAAAGATCTAGAAGTGGCCACCAAGGATGTTTGACGGAGTTATATAATAAGATAAGTATGCTAGTGAAGTGAGAGAATTGCGTGATATGATTAATCGTCAATGAGAATGCTTTACTTTTATTCATGATGAGATATTAGCATGTGCAATTGGAGATACTTTAGCGGTTGAAAATGCTTGTTTGGTATTCGGCGAACAGTCTCAAAAAAGAACAAACTTTTGGATGTAATTAGTCTGTATATAGACCAATATTCGAAAAGTAGATAAAAGTCTCAAAGACAATTACAAAACGCGAAGCAAAGTTAGTATTAATGAATGGAATAAATCGTTAAGGTCAAACCATTCAAGCGTCAAAACTAATGTAAGCACAAGGTCTCTTGATGTGTGATTGAAAAGGCAGAAAGCTGAACGAGCCTTAGATCAACTTTGCAAACGGCAAATGTTAGAGCTTCGGCAGATCATAGAACTGTGTGACTTAGAACACAAGTTGAACTTGCTAAGCTTGAAGAGCAGTTCGCTGTTGAATATGATCAGAATATGTTTGATGATAATGAATTAACAAAAAGCAATAACCTTTTGAATTTGAATATCGTTCTGCATCGCTGCGTAAAGCAACTTTTATAGAGACAAAGGGGAAATTCCCTGTTTTGAAACCACATATAAGCAAAGAAAAGCCGGTAAAGTATTCAAGCGTCCCCTGTTTCCCATCCCAGTGAAACTGATACAATTCAACGATTAGCTGAAACCTTCACCAGTTTCTCGCATATGCTGCTGATGGAGGTGACTAAATTTGCTGGTGATCTGAAGGAGTATTGGAGATTTGCCACCCATTTTAAAGATCAAGTTCTTTCATAGCCGATTGGTGAAAGTAAAAAACTTAGTCGCTTGATGCAGTACTTAGAAGGGAAGGCGTAAGAAGCCGTAGAAGATTACGAAGGCATGGATGACGGCGCGTTACAAGAAGCTTTAAATGTTATCAAACTCGCTTTGGACAACCCTACATGATTGTCAATGCATCCATTGGTTCACTTGTGAAAGGTCCGAGCATCACTAGTGGAGATGGAAAAGGTCTACAGAAATTAGCCGACAACACCAGTCACAATGAGAAGATTGGTCGCCTGTTTACCGTATCATTTGCAAGCCAAATGGAGAGATCGCACAAGTTCAATACTGAAATCGAGAAGTAAGCTCCCTAGTTTCTACGACTTTGTGGAATTTCTACAAGAAAGACCAAGCTCCAAGAATAACGCAGTATTTGGTAATTTGAAAGAGTTGAATAAAATCGATGTCATCTGAAAGAAAAGATACTCTGACTCAAATATAAATGCTCCAAGATTTTCAAGCTTTACAACACAATTTGCACCAAAACAATCTGATCGTAATGCTGATCAGACAACACCTGTATGTCCTGTATGTCAACATAGGGTACCGCCTTCAATTGTGTCCAACATTCCTGAACATGACAGTCATAGAAAGGTCGTCCTAGAATCTAGACTTTGTTTCTAATGTTTGTCATTTGGTCACTACAAGAAAACTTGCAGATATGGTAAATGCGACGTTCACGGTTGTTATCGAAGACATCATAGGCTTTTGCATTTGAACAACATAGAACCGAAGAAAGATCAAACCAATGTTGAAAAGTCGGAGCAACGAAAGGTAACTACATGTGACGCCAATGTCCAGACAAATGCAGCGAATGTTGTCCCAGATGTCTACAAGGGTGCAACAGCACTACCAGTTATGGCAGTTGTAATCTGCGGACCATATGGCCTGAGTAAGTCGACATACGCCCTGTTAGATCAAGCGAGCAAAGCCACCTTTATACACAGTAACCTAGCCAACGATCTTAACCTAAAGGGAACCAGAAGTACACTTTCCATAAAGTCATTGACTGGATCCACTTCAATCAACGCAGAGAAAGTAACAGTCACCGTTGAAGCCGTAGAACGAACCCATGGAGATTCGAAGCTTCTAGTAAGAGACGTAATAGTTACTGGCAATTTCGATGTACACCTTAAAGTTGTGCGAAGAAAAGACAACTTATTGGGATGGAAACATTTGTCGGGCGTAAACTTTCCTGATGTCGAGTGCAAAGAAATTCAAATGCTAATCAGGGCTGACAATCCAGCAGTTTTCATTACTGAGCAAGTCAGAGTTGGTGGACCTGGTGAACCGTGGGCATTCAAATACAAACTGGGCTGGGCTCTGATGGGACCAACTAACTGTGAAAGATCAAATCATGTTGACGTTTATCTTTTACAACGTACAAACACCGATTCTGAACAGTTGTATCTGAAAGAGCAAGTCAGCCATTACTTTAAGGCAGATGGCCTTGGTGTGGTGTCGGATACTCAAAAGGTGATGTCCATTGAAGATAGAAAAGCTCTGAAGATGATGGAAGAATCCACAACTATTGTTGATAATCACTACGAAGTAGGAATGCTGTGGAGCCATAATAATCCTCAACTACCCAATAATCGGTACATAGCCCTTAAGCACCTTCAGCATCTAAAGAACCGCTTGAAGAAAGATGAAGTTTTACATCAGAAATATTGTGAGAAAATCGAAGAATATGTAAAGAAGGGATATGCGAGAAAACTATGGCAAGACGAAGCATCGATACTATGTGGTATCTCCCTCATCACAGAGACATACCATATGAATGTACATATCTTTGGGGCCAAAGATTCTCCCTCAATTGCTAATTTTGCATTGCGGAAAACAGCAAAAGATAACTCGAGTGACTTCAGCCAGTCAGCTGTTGATGCAATAGAGAAAGACTTCTATGTTGATGACCTGCTAAAATCTCTACCCAATGAACAGGAAGCGATTGAACTTTCCAGCGAGATTACTGAGCTTCTTCTGAGGGGTGGTTTCCATCTAACAAAATTCATGAGTTCTAGTAAGAAAGTTCTCGCCGCTGTTCCAGCATCAGAATGTGCAAATCCATCATTTAACCTTACTATGGATAAGTCGCCTGTGTGCTTGCCTTTGGAAAATCCCGGGCTGCTCCTTTACGAAGAATTACAATTCCACGGTTGGAATTGCAAGCGGCGGTGCTGTCGCTTGGGATTGGTGAAATAATTCAGCGCGAGATAGAGCTCAAATTCGACCGAGTTTGCTACTGGACAGACTCTGAAATCGTACTGAAATATATCCAGAATGAAAGTAAACAGTACACAGTTTACGTGGGAAATCGGATTGCAGAAATTCAAGAGAAGTCAGAATTATCACAGTGGCAGTATTGCCCTAGCAAAGAATACCCAAATGACGACGCCTCCCATGGTTTAAATCCAGCAAAGTTGACATCCGAAAGTCGATGGTTAAATGGTGCAACATTTCTGAAAGGTGCTGAACCGACTTGGCCAATGACCTTGTTAGGGAAACTGGCTAGTGATGATCGTGAACTTATCGAAAGTACCCAGGCGAACTTGCTGTTTGATGTGGAAACATCCAGTTTCGATCAATTGTTGAAGAGATATTCCACATGGGACATATTAAAAGTTAAAATCGTGTGGCTAACAAGATTCAAAAGTCATCTTAGAAATTGTCATTCAAAGAATTGTAGTTGTTCACGTGGGAAACCCTACCTCAGCTGAATTAGAAGATGCAGAACACGATATTATAAAGATCATTCAGCAGAATTTCAAACCCTCTGCACTGGAAAAGACAAGGTGAAAGCATCCAGTAGTATTGTGAAGCTAAATCCATTTATTGGTAAAGATGATCTACTTCGGGTAGGAAGTAGATTAGAACATGCTCCTCTAAACTATGATGCAAAATTCCCTCCCATTCTACCAAAACATCATTGGGTCGCAGAGCTTATCACAAGACACATACACAATAACAATGCTCATATCGGGCAAGAGCATCTGTTAAGCCTACTACGTCAAAGAATTTGGATTTGTCAAGCGCGGTCCTTAGTTAGAAGAATTATCAACAAGTGTTTCGTCTGCAGGAGAGGACATGCACCAATGTTGCACCAGCAGATGGCAAATCTACCACCTTGTTGTGTCATTGCTTATGAACCCCCCTTTACCTACATCGGTGCAGATATGTTTGGACCAATACTTGTGAAGCAAGGTCGTTCAACAGTCAAAAGATGGGGATGCATTTTCACGTGTATGTGTTCCAGAGCAATCCATTTGGAAGTTGGCTCCATCGTTAGAAACGGACGATTTTATAAACGTATTGTGACTATTCATTGCCAGGAGAGGGACACCCCACGAAATGCGTACTGATTGTGGAACAAATTTTCGTGGTGTTGATAGTGAATTGCAACTTGCTATAGCAAAGTGGACTGAAAATCATCTACAGGAGAAATTATCGCAAAGAGGCATCACCTGGATATTTAACCCACCTCATGCACCACACTTTGGGGGAGTTTAGCAAAGATTGATTAAATGTGTCAAGCGTGCGTTGAAAGCCATTTTGAAGGGATCTTAAGTTACGAATCATGTCTTACAGACAGTGTTCGCCAAAGTTGAGTCCATCCTGAACTCATGTTCTCTGACGAAATCGAGTGAAGACGCAAGTGACGCAACAGCTATTTCACCTGCTCATCTCCTGCTTCAAAAACCCGCAGTTGTTTTGCCCCCCGGAGAATTCGACCAAGAATCCGTATTTACAAGGAAAAAATGGAGACAAGCTCAAATATTGGCGAAGCACTTTTGGAACAGG